GTCCGGAGAAGGGCCACGCCCTAAACACTTGAATGATGCCTGTATCACCACTGCGGCTTCCAACTCCTGCACCGTCTTCCCCCGGCATGAGCCCCACAGGTGTCTGCATGTTCACCTTCCAAGTAGCCACGTGCTTGGCCAAGGATGCTGTATCTTTGACGTCTAAGAACCAGACATGAGACCTCTATTGCCCTCTTGCTGTGGACCAAGGTAGGGAGGAGCCCACAATCTGAGCCTGCCAAAGTGACTGAGAGCAAGCCTGAGGGACTTATGAGAAGCAGTTCCTTGCCCCTTCTTGCTCACTCGGTAAGTCGTGTCCAACTCTTTGCGACCCCATGAACTGCAGGACATCACGCTTCCCTCTCCTTCACCATCTCCTGGAGTTTGCTCAAAGTCATGTCCAGTGATTCTATGATGCCATCCAACTATCTCATCCTCTGTCACCCCCCTTGCCTCCTGTTCTCAACCCTTCCCAGCATCAGGGTCTTTTCCAATGAGTCAGCTCTTCAAATTAGGTGGCCAAAACATTGGAACTTCAGCTTCAGCATCAGTGCGTCCATTGAATAGGGTTGATTTCCTTTAGGATTGACTGGTTTGATTACCTTGCAGTCCAAGGGACACTCAAGAGTCTCCTTTAGCATCACAATTTGAAAGCATCAGTTCTTCGGCACACAGCCTTCTTTATGGTTCAACTCTCACAGCCATACATGACTACTGGAAAAACCATAGCTTTGACTAGATGGACCCATCAGCAAAGTGATGTCTTTGCTTTTTAATACACTGTCTAGGTTGGTCATAGCTTTCCTTCCAAGGAGTGTCTTTTAATTTCATGGCTGCATTCACCATCTGCAGTGGTTTTGGAACCCAAGAAAATAACATCTGTCACTGTTTCCACTTTTCCCCCATCTATTAGCCATGAAGTGATGGGAATGGATGCCATGATCTTTGTTTTTTGTTGAGTTTTAAGCCAGCTTTTTCACTTCTCCTCTTTCACCCTCATGGGAGGCTCTTTAGTTCCTTTGCTCTCTGCCATTAGAGTGGTAAAATCTGCCTTCTGAGGTTGTTGATACATCTGGAAATCCTGAGTCCAGCTTGTGATTCATCCTGCCCTGCATTTCATATGATGTGCTCTGCATATAACTTAAATAAGCAAGGTGACAATCAGTATACATCTTTGTCATGCTCCTTTCTCAATTTTGAACCTGGCTCATAGATACATGGGAAGGTTCTTTTCTGCTTCTTTGCTTGGCTGCATGAGGAGGTAAAGGCTGGAAGACCCTCTAGCCATCTTGCCATCACAAGGGGTGCTGCCGTCCCAGACCAGCAGTGTCTGGGGTGAAGAGAGGCTGAACCTGGGTGAATTCAGAGTTCACTTGGACTTTACCAAGCCTGGACCTGCCCTACCAACCCTCTTACGTGGGATGATGGGCTCCTGCCTGCTGAAGGTAGCTGAGGGGGAGTCCTGAGTTCCAGGTGAAATCGACGATACTCTATGTGAATGAATTAGAAGCACTTCATATATTGGACCCCAGATTTATTTAATTTTGGCTGTGCTGGCTCTTCATTGCTGTATGGGCTTTTCTCCATTTGCAGCAAGCAGGGACTCCTCTCTAGTTTCAGTGCATGGGCTTCTCATTGCAGTGGCCTTTCTCTTTGTGGAGCACAGGTTCTGGGGCTCTAGGGCACTTGGACTTCAGTAGTTGCAACTCCTGGGTTATAGAGCAGTCTTAATAATTTGTGGTGCATGGGTTTAGCTGCTCCTTGGCGTGTGGGATTTTCCTGGATTGGGGATTGAACCGGTACCTCCTGGGTTGACAGGCAGAGTCTTTACCACTGAGCCACCAGGAAGCCCCCCAAAGTTTGATTTTAGCTGAGTAAGACTCATGTCACACTTCTGACTCCCAGAACTGTAAGGTATCAAGTTCCTGTTTTTTTTTTCTTTCACCAAGTTTCTGATTTAAACCACTTGGCTTGTATAATTTATATGGCAGTCATGAAAAACTAAGAGAGGCCCATCAAAGCACAGAAACCAAATTAAGTCCTAAGAAAACATGGCTACCCTCCAGGCCAAGTCCTGCTCCCATCTCTCCCTAGCAAAGCATGGATTTCTCAGGGCAGACCCCAGGTTAGCAAGAGAGGAGTGTCTGAGTCCACTAAAGTCCACAGTTGTGGAGGCTGGAAGTCCAAGGTCAAGTGGCAGCTGATTCAGTGTTGGGCGAAGATCCTCTTGCCGGATGGCTGTCTTCACACCACACCTTCACAAAATGGAAGGGGTGAGGATCCTCTGTGGCGTTTCCTTTAAAACGGCACTAATCCCTTTCACAAAGGCTTCATCCTCCCGACCTCATCACCTCCCAAAGGCCCCACCTCCAAACCCTGTTGTCTTGGGCGAACAGGTTTCCACAGGGGAATTTTGAGGTGACACAAATGTTCAATCTACAGCAGTTAGGGCCCCTGTTTAAGCCAGTCCCATGTTCCTGAGGTCATCCCTGGCCTCTTCTGTGATCCGCGTGGGTCAGCGGTGTCCGGAGCTGGAGCTGGGGGAAACAGAGTCTGTCTGGAGGTGCCATCCCCACAGCGTCACTGTGAACGCCACCCTGGGGCTGACCAGGCACTGAGGACAGACCCTGGTTTCAAGGCTGCGCCCCCCACCTCCTTGTCATTTCTGGGGCAAGGGGAGCTGGGGGCAGCACAGAGAGACAAGATGACAAGATCCGTAGATTAGTTGTTTTTTTTTTTTTTTAAAATAACTGCATCCTTTAATGGCAGTAATACAATTATTGGATTAAGAGACCACAGGAGAAAGGACAGGTGGTGTTTCTGGAAGACAGATATGGAGTACAAAAAGGGGTGGAATAGAGTCATGCGACGATCATTGTAAAAATACAGTACGTTATATACATATTTGCACCGTCAACTTTCAACTCTGAAATAGTATTTACACTTTTGTTACAATCCTGGTTAGAGAACATTTTTTTTCTTTAAAAGCTCGGCCTGATGGCAAATGAAAATTTTGGGTGAATTCATAGTCCCATGAGGTTCTTAGGCTGAATATTCCAAGAGGAGCGTTCCAGCTTCTATTTCATCCACAGATTACAGTTTTAAAAAAGTATTTCATTTTGCTTCTACAAAAGAAAATTCTCAAAGGAAGGGAAAAAAACCAAACAACCCAACACCCAACCACAGCCACACTGTGTATTCTTTCTTATATTACAAACACCAGGGGCTGCAGCCCTCTGCTTCGAGGCCAACACTGGCGGCTGAAAAAAAATCTCATTAATGATTGTTTAAAAAAAAAAATAGAAAAAGACACAAAGACAAACCAAACCACCCTGATCATGGCGCACTGACCCTCTGGGGGTGCCTCCCCGGCCCTTGCTTCTGGCACCAAACTCTATGACTATTCCTTTTCTGGGGGAGGGGGTGTGGGACCTTCTTTAACCTCCCACCCCAAGGAGGTGGGGGGGTGACCCTCTGGCTGGCTGGGACACCAGGCTTCCTCATCAGCAGCAGGAAGAGTCAGGGACCTTAAGCGAGGTTGCCGAGACGGCAGGATGAGGAGAGAGGCAGCAGACAGCGGGTGGGTGTGGACACACAGGCCGTGCTCAGCTCCCCTGAGGTCACGGCGTGGGCCTCCTGTGGGCTCTGTGGCCAGGACGGGAGCTCAGCCAGGGTCCTGGGGGTGCTGGGAGCCCAGGGCAGCCCTGTCGGCTCCCTTCCCGGCTCGGCCGGAGGGATGAGAGCAGGACGCAGGCTGTGGGGTCCTTGCCCCGCTCACAGCGGGGGTCGGGTCACCCTCCTGGCCCTGGCCAGGTCCCCCACCGTGTCCTCAGGCCCCCTTCCTGGACGTGGCCATAAAGCCAACACTGCATGTACCCTGAACCCACACCCCCTTCAGCCTGGAAGAAAACCAAACACACCGAAACCACGGGCGCTGAAGGTACGCTGAGGGGGTGTGGCAGAGGGCGACACTTTGCCGACCACCACCCGGGCTCCCCCCGTCGGGGGCGTGGTGGCACGGCCATGCCACGGATCCTTGAGCTGTCCCCAGAGGGGCCGGGGCCCAGGATAGAGCCTGGCACGCGGGAAGAAAGGCGTGGCCACGACAGGACAGGGGCTAATACTGACTGAAAGCACGCGGTCTGAGGGGCCACCCCCATACCAGCAGACTCCAGGTCCATCTCTCACCCCGGGAGTCTTCTGCCGCAGGCTGGAGGGTGCGGGTTCACGGGTGAACTTTGGACGGAGGGGGGGCGGGGACGGGGGGGACCCTGCGGGTGAATCCAGACGAGATAGCAGTGGGAAAGGACTTTGTTTCTTCTGGCCCAGGCAGCTTCCAAAGGCTCTTCTTTTCTTTCTTGACACCTCCTCGCTTCCACTGGCCCCTGAAGTGGGTCATCATGGCCTGCACGCTGCAGAGGAGACGCAGAAATGCCTAGACCTGCTTCCACGCGGGGCCTGCCCACCGTCTCGGCTCCAGCTCTTCTTGCTCATGCAACACTTGATGCCTTCTTGACGCCTGCTGCTCCCTTCGTCCTGGGGGGTGGGGTGGGGCGGGGTGGGGCAAGAGGAGGAGGAGGAGGAGGGGCCCAGCTTTGCCCAGAAAACCCACCAGACCCCCAGCCGCCAGACTGGGGCCCCAGCCTTTAAGGGAGTCCCGGAAAATCTGGCCCGGCCAGGCCAGGCAGAGTGCCAGCTGGGCTGAGGCCCAGGGGACTCGCCACTGTTCACATGCACGTGGGGGTTTTGTCGGCGGGCACCCAGCAGCCCCGCAACACTGACGGGAAGTTAGAGATGGTTATATACAATTCATGTGTTACACAGAAGATACTACTTAAAAAAAAAGAGAGAGAGAGAGAGGAAAAAAGAAAACAGAATAGGAAGAAAGAAAAAACACCCAACCCCCTCCCCCCTCCCCCCAAGCCCCAACTCTGGTCGCTGCCCTTAAATATTGCCCTGGGAAGGGTGGGGTGCGGGGAGCGCTGGACTCCGGCTTAACACTACTGGCAGAAGGGGGAGGCAGTGGGGTCGAAGCCTTTAAACACATCTTTCAGGGACCCAGCGTCCTGCTCACCCTCTTGGGCTGGGCTGTTGCCAGCAAATGGGCTTCCGGAGCCCGTCTTGGGTGCCGGTTTCACGGTCCCGAAGAGGGTGGGCACGGGCAGGTTGTGCACGCCGGGCTGGGGTAGGCTGCCCTCTGCTGACGGGGCACCCACGGCGGCAGCGGGGGCCGCAGCGGCCGCGGCGGCCTTAGGCCGGGGCCGATTGTAACTGTTGTATCTGTCCGTGGCCGTGGCCCCATCGGCCCCGGGCTTCCCGGACTCGGGCTGCTCCAGGGCGGACTTGCGGACAAATGGGGGCTCCTTGGCCTTGGCGGCAGCGGAGCTCCTGCCGTTGCCCTCAGGGCCCTTGGGCTGGGTGCCCGCGTCGGCGGCAGACTCCGCAGCTTTGCCCCCCACGTTGGGAGTCCTGGGGTCGTAGAGGCTAATGCCGCTCAGCACGCTGCTCTGGCCGCCCCCGCCACCCTGGCCCAGGCCGCCGGCTGCCAGCACGCGGGGGTCGTAGGGGGCGGTGGCCGGCGGGGAGGACTCCCCGCTGGGGCTGGCGGCTGGAGAGGGGACCTCGGCGGGGCCGGGTTTGGCTGCCCGCGAGGAGGCAGTGGCGGAGTCTGTGGGTTTCTGCAGCCGGGGGTCGGTGGGTGTCTTCCGCACTCGGGGGTCACTGGGCTTGTCGCTGGAGCCAGGGGTGGCCAAGGGGCCGGTGACGTTGACAGTCTTGAGGATGCGAGAGAGGAGCTCAAAGTCAGGCAGGCTGGAGCCAGCCGCGCTGGCATCTGCGGAGTTGCCTGCACGCTGCCGGGGATTGGGGGGCCCCGAGGTGGCGGCGCGGTGCAGCCTGGGATCCAGCGCCGGCAGAGACTGCAGGGCAGCAGGCACGGGGGGCGCGGCCTCCTGCTTGGGCAGGGGCAGCGGGATCAGGTCCTCGGGGCTCCAGAGCACAGTGCGGGCGAAGCTGGGCCGGCTTAGGGTCACGGCCTTCTTGATGTGGCTGAACTGCTGCAGCTGTGACCGCGGGTCCCGCAGCGGGTGCCCAGGGAGCGGTTCCAAGGGAATGTTGACGGCCTTCTCCCGAAGGGCCCGCTCCCCTTCCTCTTCTTCTGCCGGGGGTGGTCCAGACCCCTTGGAGCCCCCGGGACCAGCAGGGCTGGAATGCAAGCCGCCGTCGGGCTTGGAGCTGGGTAGGGAGCGAGCCAGTCGCGGGTCAGAGGGTCCGGTGTCACCTGGGCCTGACCCGCTGGAAGCCTCAGCGTGGCGGGAGAGCCTGGGGTCCCGGCTGAGGCGGGGGTCAGCCAGTCGGCCTCCCGTGGGGTGTCCCTTCTGGAGGCGGGGGTCCCCCAGCCCACTGCTGCTCAGCTCCCCAACAGAAGCCTGGGGCCGGCTGGACGTCTGCTGCCTCAGCGTCTTCAGGATGGAGGTGACACTGCTCCCACCTTCATCCTCGTCGCTTGAGTACCAGTTTCCAGTGTCACCTGCAATCAAGCAGACAGCAGCAGGGAGACGGTGAGTGGTCACTACACCTGCCACCAGCCCTCTTGGATCCCCTGGTAGCCTGCTCCCCACCTCTTCTCTCTCAGAACCTCTATTTCTCTCGCGTAAAACACCCACTGCTCACCTTCCCCACCACCACAGAATGGCATGAAGAGCCAGGGAGCGCAGGCGGGCCAAGCACGGAGCCTGGCAGGTCTCTGGCTATCGTGGATGGACCCTTCCCTGTGTACCGGCACCGAGCTAAGGGCTTTGCCTTATTTGCCACAACCACCCAGGATACAGCGCTGTCACCATGCCCATTTGACAGATGAGAAAACAGAGGCACCGACACAGCGCCCCGAGGTCAGGGACAAAGCCAGGCCTAAGCTCAGACTCCGAGCCCCAGGCTCCAGTGCTGCCTCCTCACCTCCTGGGCAGACTCAGACCCCCCACGGCAGGCCCAGCTCCGAGCGCCTGTGAGCAGCGGCCGCTGCCTGGGCTCTCACTGAGCTTGGGCTCCCAGATCCGTGCCTCCCAGACCCCTCACAGTGCTCCCGCACCCCAGGGCAGGCAGTCACCAGCTGGTAAGAGGCGGGGCCAGGTGGGCAAACGCAGAAGCTGGCCCATGTCCAACCTCCTCAGCAGCTGCAGTCGGAGACCTCGGGGAGGGGACTGTCCCCTGTTCTCACTGCCCCACTTGCTCCCCAGCTCCTGGCTGCAGGCTCTAGATGCCTTCTCTGTCTGCCCCATTCCCCCCACGGGGGATGCCATCAGGGTGCCACTCGGTACCACAAGACCCAGCAGCTGAGGCTGGGACTGTTACTGGTCTGTGTCAGAGACTGGCTTTCACCTCTGGGCTTCCCGAGGACACGGTCTGGGGAGCGGGGGCTGAGCATCTCCCTCCAGCCTCCTCCGCGAGGGTGCGGTCTCCTCCAGGGACCAGCCCACTGCCCTCCTCCACGGGACCAGGGTCTTGCCCTTCTCCGCAGGGGTCCTCCCGGCCACAGGCTCCTGTCCAATGCAGACCCCGGACCTAGGCACGCCCCACCGCTCCCCGCAGGGCGGCCAGGGCCCATGCCCATGGGGGGAGCCCTGCCCCGGGGGAGGACACGTGCCTTCCTCATTCTCCCGGTCCTGCTTGCTGCTCTCAGCCAGCCTCCTCGCTCTCTCCTCCTCCTGCTGCTTCTGCTGGATCCTCAGGTACAGGGCCCTCTGGGCCGAGGGCAGGAAGTCAGGGACACCGGCGCCTGGCTTCGGCCGGCCTGGGGGCCCTCCCTCAGAGAAGCTGTCTGGCTCCAGAGGGTGCTCGGGGAAGAGGTGCTCCCCAGGCTCCCCCGGCAGCTCTTCGTAGTGCCCGTAGTCCTCTGTGGCAGGGAAGAACCGAGCGTTCATGTCGGGAAGGGCCGTGCGGCACCAGCTCCGACCCACCCGTGCCCTCAGCTGGAAAACCACCCCTGACGGCGATGGGTGACAATGCACAGCCTACGCCCTCCTACCCTTCCCGGGAGGGGCCCTAGCAGCAGGGGACGGAGCAGCCAAAGGGGGAGGGGGGTCCCAACTAGGATGCAGCCACTGAGAATGGGGTTCACGGTGAGGTTTAGTGACATGGGCAAATGCTCATGAGGTGAGAACAGGACGGAACGGCGAACGAATGTTTATAAAACGCAAAGAAAAGGCTTTGAAAAGACAGACAGAGAACAGACCCTCTGGGAATGAGAGCAGGGGCGGGGAATGAGATTGGGGGAGGGAGTTGAGGCATCGTTCCTTTTTTTACTCCACACATTTCCCATCTGTTTTAAATACTTCTGATGAACATTAATCTTATAGTCTCTTTAAATAAAAAACTAAAGAAATAGAAACACTCAATCTCACAGTAAGCTCATAATATGAGTTCAATCACGGTAAACAAAGACCCATAAAGAAAAGAAGAAAATACACCAAAATGTTGCTATGGCTACAAGTCCACCCAGAGGCTCCCGGCGATTCCTTCTCCTTCCACAAATGTTTCTGGGCAGCTGCTACGTTTAAGGGGATGCGGCAGGTGGGGGTGTTTCTCTAGCACAGCATCTAGGAAGCACCAGGCGGAAGGGCTTGCCATCTCTCCTGAAGGGTGGGCAGCGTCCAGTACCAGCCGCCTCCCTTCGCAAATGCTAAGGGTAGAGCCAAGGATGAGGGGAACAGCTTTGGGAGGTCTGTGACGAAGCGCCTAGAGGCTGTGTATGTGTGTTGGAGACAGAGTCCAATGAGCACTGCCCACCGGCCATTCTGCAATTATGAAATAGCCCCGATCTGCACCTCGCATGCAGCGACCCTACTGAGCAGCTGAAATGTGGCCAGCTCTACCAAGAAAGTGAGTCCGTAATTTAAACTAAAGTTACAAGAGTCAAAGGCTTAAATCCTTTTAGAAAGATAAACACTTCCTACATAATCGTATAAAGTAAAATGTGAAAAGCCACTTTCTTCCAGACTCTGAACTTCAGAACATGGGAACTTGGTGGGCCAGGCTGCTCTGGGCCACAGCCTCACTCCTTAAACAACAGTCCCACCCAGGCCCCCCTGCATCTGATGGTTTTACAACGCTGAATATTATTAAAAGCAACTGAACGGCACTACATGGGCAATTGAGCTAATTACTCCAGAGATACCATCACCAGCTTCACAGACTTTTTGTTTCCCTACCTGGACCTTCATACATCTCACATCCATTGTTTAAAGGGGGAAGAGACCCCTCGGGCCAGGGTCACCTGCTTTTTTCATGTGAGAGCGTGTCACTGCCCTGGCGCCCCGCCCCACACACCTGTTTTTATGCCTCCGCACACTAGATGCCAGCGTAAGCTCTACCCCGACCTCCAGCCTGGTCAGCTCCCTGACGCCTGCCGACGACTCCACATGGTGTTAAACGCGCACCTCGTGCTTTCTGCAGCCGAAGCACGATGCTGCCCTCCCTCCTCCCAGCCTGGCTCTGCAGCATCTCCCGCCCCAGGGACGGCTGGGCACCTGCCCAACGACTCTGCCCCCTACAGGCATCTCCACCCGACCCTGCAGCCTTGGCCCCTTGGCGTCTCCACACCCAACCCTGCTGGCTCTCAGTCACCCTGGGAATCCCTCACCTCACCTCTGCCCAGGGTAACTCCAGAGCAGCCTCCAAGCTTCCCAGATTCCCTTCCAGTTGCTACAAGCACCCGTGGGCCCAGTGTTCCTCTGTTACCCTCATCCTTCTACAAGCATCCATGGCCCCAGCATTCCTCTGCTATCCCCATCCTTCTTCCGCTGAGCACACCTCACCATAGCCCATAGAGTCTCATGTGATGGGGCTTCTCTCCCCTGTCCTCCTGTCCCAAGCCACACGAACACCTGGGGATTCCACCAACAAGGTGACTTGGCTGGAACCTCTACCTGCTGCGGCTCTCCCCAAGCCAAGCCTTCCTCCCGCTTCACATCCCTCTCTCATTTGCTTCTCACATAGGCCTCAGACAGGCAGTGATGCACCAGAGGATAGCTGCTCCCAGTCCACCTCCACCGGTCACCCCGGACACTGCCCCGCTTTCCTTCCATCAATGACCGATGCCAACATGAGCAGCACACTTACTGACATGTTTCCTATCTGTTTCTCTCCACTGAAACATAGTTCAGGCCTGCTCTGACCCCAGGCCTGGAAGCACGCCTGGCCCCCTGGATACCTCGCATCCTCCTGAAGGCTACACACCGTCTCCTATGAAGCAGCACTGTCATCCAAGCACCCTGACCACCAGACCTTTAGGTTTTTTTACAACACGTGTTCTCATTTTAGTAAGAAAGGAAGGAAAGGAGAAAGGAAGATGGTCAGTGTGGGGATAGAACGAGCACAGTCGCAAGGGAGCTCCAAGCCAAGAACCACCCAGAAGCAGGCCACTGGCGGAGAGCACCTCAGCCATGAAGTTCACACCGTTCGGCATCCACCCCCTAACTTCCCACACTCCCAGTCAACTTACAAGAAACTAAGTAAGTTATAGTGATGATAACACCCCACCCAGTCTCAACAGGCTGGTGAATCCTACATCACTGAAAAGGTTCAGCCACTCATGGAACAGAGATGGAGCTGGATTTAAGTTTTCAAAGACTCAGACCAAAGAAGGAAACCCCAATCTTCTTGACTATATTCCACTGTGCAAGCCCCAGCTGGCCCCCACCCTGAGCCCCGCATACCTGCGTCCCCAATGAGTCCCGGCTCCATCTCCATGCCCTCCTGCTGCTGGTAGAAGTTTTCATAGAAGTTCTGGGCTGGCGGGATGGGGGGCATCATTCCAGAATGTGGGGAGTCTCCGGGACCGTAGGGCATCATGGGAGGGCCGCCAGGGCCCATGGGCGGGCCAGGGTTCATGCCGGGGCCCATCGGCATATCGGGGTGCATGTCGGGGTGCATGTCCGGGTGCATATCCGGGTGCATGTCAGGGTGCATGTCAGGATGCATTGGGCCCCCCATCGGCCCTGGGGGTCCCATGTTGGGCCCAGGGCCCATTGGCCCAGGGGGTCCTCCAGGTCCAGGGAACCTGGAAGAAACAATGGTGCCTGTGAGAGGGGCTGCAGAGAAAGGGGGGAGCTATAGCCTGAGGAGGGCTCCGACCAGGCTCTAAAGGCTCCAGAGATGCCACATGATGGCCAGCTGGGCACTCACCTCACACCCAGCTTCTCAGCCAGCTGCCCCGTGGGCCGCACCACAATCTCGAACAAGGAGGGGATCTTCTTATTGTACATGTCCTGCTGCTGCTGCAGCTGCTGCGGGGACAGCGGCTCATGCGCTGGCAGGGGCATCTGAGGGGGTCCAGGGGGCGGAGGCGGGGGTGGGGGTGGGGGCGGGGGGCCGCCCTGCATGGGCCGGCCATTCGGAGACGTGGGGGCTGGTGGGCCGGGTGGGCGGGGTGGGGTGGGCAGGAGGCCCACGCCGGGGGGTGGCTTGGGCAGGGGGTTGATGCCCTGTTTCTTCAGCTCCTCCACCTCCTTCTCATCCTCGGCGCCCGCCTCTGCATCGTCCGCCAGCATCTGCGGGCCAGAAGGACAAAGCCGTCAAGAGTCACGATGGGGAGGGGCAGGTGGTAATGCACCCCTCCAGGGCTGAGACCTGAATTCTCCAAGCAAAGTGCTTCAGCCCCCAGAGACCCTTACAGCGTAAGGCCACCGACCACAAAACCTCTCGGGAACAGAAATCATCGCCTTCGTACCACCTCTGCATCCACTCCCAGTGACCAGCTGACAGGGGAGCCATTCTTATTCTGCCGCAAAATACATGCAACATACCATGCACTATTTCACCATTTCCAGGTAGACAATTCAAAGATATCAAGTACATTCTCAAGTGGTACAATCGCCAATTATCTAGTTTTGTCACCTCAGAGAAAACGCCAGGCCTGTCAAGCAGTCACTCCCCACTCTCCTCTTGGAAGATGCCACGCCCACCAGGCGACCACTCCCCCGGAAGACACCAAGCCCACCAAGAGGCCACTCCCCACTCAGAAGACACCACGCCCGTCAAGCGGCCGCTCCCCCGGAAGACGCCACGCCCATCAAGAGGCCACTCCCCCAGAAGACGCCATGCTGTCAACCAGCCACTCCCCACTCCCCCCTAAAAAGACGCCACGCCCATCAAGAGTCCACTCCACAGAAGACGCCATGCTATCAAGCGGCCACTCCCCACTCAGAAGACGCCAGGCCCATCAAGAGGCCACCCCCACAGAAGACGCCATGCTATCAAGCGGCCACTCACTATTCCCCCCTCAGAAGACGCCACGCCCACCAAGAGGCCACTCTCCCATGAAGTCATCGCGCCCATCAAGCGGCCACGCCTCACTTCCCCTCCCCCAGCCCCTGGCAACCACCCACCTCCTGTCTGTCTATGGATTTGCGTGTTCTGGACATTTCCTATAGACGAAGCCCTATAATGTGTGGCCTTTTGTGGCTGGCTGCTTCTACTGAGCATCGTGACGTTTTCCAGGTTCACCCATGGTGCAGCTGTGTCATCTATTTCACAGCTAATAATAGCTCATGGTTCTGTTTGGATTTTAAGCGCCTCACGGCACTTGCAATCAAACCGCCAGCACTTAAGAGGACCCGCAGGGCCTGATAGCAGGGCTGGTGTCTGCGGAGGGCTTCGCGGTGCGTGGACTCCTCCAGCATAAGCACTCAACCCTGTGTTTCAGTCCCGCGGACAGCTAAGCACTCCCCCCCCGCCACACGGGGCCCTCACTGGACCAGGCCTCCGGGCATTCATTTTTCCCTCCATGTATGGCTCCATGACCCCCAGTTGCTGGGGTCTCTTACTAAAAGGTCAGTTCAGAGTGACAGGCCTGGTCTCCTGTATTCACTATGGGAACACCATCAGCTCCCTCCAAAGCACTACCCAAGCTTTGTTAAGATTTTACATTTAGTTATATCTCTTTACTCCTGGCCTGATGACTACCAATTCCACAAGGGCAAGACCCCCAGGCTCCACCTAAGGCCTATTACAGGGCAGAGGGACAGTTTCAAAGTCTGGATTCAAGTGGAACATCCCATGGATCAGGATCCTGTGCAGAAGCTGACACCGCGGACCTGCCTGCATCTCTTGAAAGGCCAATATGCAATGGGGCCTCCACCCTGGGCCCCAGCATCTCTGCAGAGGACCCTGCCCCACACAAGCAGGGCCGCCTGTGGTTACAGAGCTGTCAGGCCCTGCACTGCTAGATCCTCATAGGGGCAACTCAGTGCCCTCAGGTGTGGGCAAAACCTAACAAAGTTATGCTTCATTAAACAGGTACAAACCTGATGAGTGCTTCCTCCCCACCCGGGAAGGGGTACCACCGCCAGCCACTGAATGTGCCACACTCCCCTCGCCCCCAAGACTAGGGCCGCATGTCTCCTCACCACTCAGCACAGAACACCAGCACTCAGCAGGAACACTCTGCTGGGGGGACCGAGGCTATGGAGATCTTTACACTGCTGCCCCCAGCCTGGAGCACGGTACTCAGCACACAGGGCCACACCGTGGACTCAACAACCAAATGAACCGCAGTGTTGGCCCCCAAGACAGCCTCTCGAAGGTACTGCTGATCCCCAGGGAGTTGGGCCCCCTTTCCCATGCTCACCTCCTGGGGCCCTGTGCCTTTAGCTTCCCCACTGCGCTCTGCAGTTGGGGCTTCTATGCCCACCCCGTGCATAGAGGTGGGGGGAGTCTTACCTCGCCGTGGCTCCCGCTACAGGACTTTCCCAGCTCACCCCTCATGCAAACCCCACAACACCCTGCTGGACTCCACCTGGGGACACAGCCAGCCCCTTGCACTCACCCCTGTCCCCACCACCTGCCCCGGGTCCCGAGTGCGGCCTGAGGGCCGGCGCCGAACCACATCAGAGCCCCGGACACTGATACATAAGAGATGCTGTCCCTACCCGTGAAACCCTGAACCCAAACCATCCAGGCCATCCGTTGGCACATCTAGTCCTACAGACTCTCGGGCCTCTGTGCAGCAAAGAGGCCTTCACACCAGACCACCAGGCCCTGCCCAGGCACCACAACCCACCCCCACCCCCAGAACTGATTCTGAATGATCCTCGGGTTCCCAAAGTTCAGAGGCATGCTGTCAGTGGAAAAGGACTGCCACACTGGCAGACATATACAGACGTGTGGGGCAAGCTGCGTCAGGCCAAAGAAATAAGCTCGTGTCTGCCTGTTAAAAATTCTAAGCTTCTGCCCCAAACTAGAAACAAATCAAAGGTTCAACTGGTGACCAGATAAACAGTGTCTCACATCATCCATAGAGTGGGGTAGTACTCAGGAACTAATAGTGATGAACAATAGTGATGAACCACCAATACTTGCAACAACGTGGATGAGAAGCCAGATTCAAAACCACACACACATTTAGAAGCTACATCCCATATAAATCTATTCATATGACTTCCGTGGAAAGCCAAAACTACAGGGACAGAAAATGGATTAGCGGTTACCAGGGACTGGAGATAGGAGAGGTGCTGACTACAAACGGGTGAGTCTTGAGGGTGAAAGTGACTTTTCTCTAGCTAGATTGTGAGGTGGTTACATGACTCTCTGTATCTGTCAAAACTCAAAGGGTTTTTTTTTTTAAACTGGATACAAACTATACCTTGACAAACCTGACTATGAAAGTGTACATATAAATCAATAACTGAAAGATTTAATGGTGAAGAACCGTAGTGTGAGCCACTTACTTTCAAGAGGCTCAAGGAACCAAGCAGAGCAACTGACAAAACAAACGGGGCAGAATAACTCTCATCAGGGGCTTGGGTGGAAGGATTCTTGCCACTCACACTCACAGAACCATCACCAACAGCCCCAAAGGCAGGCATGTCTCAACCTGGAGTGGACAGCTGGACGCTGCTGTATCTGGACAGACAGAAATGTCACTGAGACACAAGAAAACAAGGCTGCAGAAAAGGGAGGGGGAGAGAGCAGAGAGGAGACGGTGGCGAAGGCCCCATCCTCAGTGGCACCACAGTCTGGCCCCAAGGGTGGCCCAGGAGCCTCAGGTCCCATCCCTGGGGGTTGGGCTGCAACTCTGTCCAGGAGAGGAGGAGACGGCTGACCTCCCGCCTTTATCAGGGTTATTACTCTGGGCCCGTCGTAAAGGTTGAAGTTTTATTTTCTGACCACCCAAATTCGATTCTGGAATGGTTTTTCCAGGTTCAACACTCATTTTTAAAAAAAACAACATTTATTCATTTTGGTTGCACTGGATTGTCATTGCTGCATAGGGCTTTCTCTAGTTGTGGTGAGTGGCGACTACTCTCCAGTTGTGCTGTCAACACTCACTTTGAACCTACTGAGACTTGACTTGAGATAGGGCATGATACTGATGCTCTCAGAATGTTTAGGCCAGAAATGGAAATGTGCCACTCTGATTTGCTTTGGGTTTTCATTAGGGTGTCTCAAACCGTGCTGTCCAATGTGGTGGTCACTGGTCATGTGTGGCTACCAGGTGCTTGAAATGGGGCTTTAAGTAGAAAATAAGCACCAGATTCCTTAGACTTAGTATATATATTTAAAAAAACATACAAACTATCACAATTTTTTTTCATCTGTTTATTACTTGCTGAAATGGTACTCTGGACGTGAATATACTGGATTAAATAAAATACACTGGTAACATTAATATCATCTGTTACTTTTTACTTTTTTCTAACATGGCTACTAGAAAAATTTTATGTAGCTCTGCTGTGTTCTTCTCGGACAGCATTGGTCTAGAGCGCAAACTCTGAACCTCCAGGAGGGGGCAGCCCTCAGTCAGAGATGACTCAGTTCTTCAAATGAGAAATGAAGGCAGCATTACTTTTACTACTCCTTACCCTGAGAATGACTCACAGATTCTAGCCAGCCACCAGTTACAAAACCCTACTCCTAGGCTCACAGGCCACAAGGTGTCCCGAAGATGAGGACCTCCTCCCTGCCACTCTCCCAGTGAGGCGAGGACGTGCTCCTGCTCTGGTTGTGCAGGGCTCCCCTCAACCCCGCAGGCAGCCCCAGGCCCCATCCAAACAGTGAAGTCACCAATGGGTGGATTCTTGGAAGCTGGCTAAGGCACTGATTCTTCCCATTATCAAAAAATAGCCCGTCTCCTCAAACCTTCTGGGAACCAGAAGGCGGGAAAGCCTTCACCTGGGAGAACACATTCTCTCACACCCAATCACCCTACTCACACCCATTCACCCTATGATGAAGTGAAGTGACGTGAAAGTCCCTTCTACTCTTTGCGACCTATAGTCCATGGGATTCTCCAGGCCAGAATACTGGAGTGGGTAGCTGTTTCCTTCTCCAGGGGATCTTCCCAACCCAGGGATCAAATCCAGGTCTCCCGCATTGCAGGTGGATTCTTTACCAGCTGAGCCACCAGGGAAGCCCATCACCCTATGACAGGTGTCAAGAAACCAAGCACAGGAACTGGGACCCCCAAAGTCCTCAGTTTGACTCCCCAGGGAAAACTAAGGACATGAGGATGAGTTTCAGACGTCCTCTGGCTGGTAAGGAAGCCCCGATACCTCGCTGGAGGGGGTCCCCCATCCTCAGAGCTCCCAATGCCCTGTACTTTTTCTACTACATAAAAGACTTGGGAAAAAACATTTGACTTTTCCATCAAAACAGAAGCCATCTGAAGCCTCACTTCCTCTCCGTGCTCCCTGGGCTCTTGGAAGGCCAGCTAGGAAATCACGAGGTGTGTTCGGAGACACACCAGGCTACATTCCTTTCAGGGAACCACTCCCCAGTGAACACCGCCCCGGGCAGAGAGAAGACACACACGTGACCGCAACCATCCTCCCTGAAGAGCATATCGACCCCACTCCCTCCTGAACACATCCCAGCTCCAGTCAACGCAGCTGGCATCCTGGTCCTGCACGGAGGCCAAGCCCCTGGATGTCCCAGTCCCTGTCAGCCCGGGCATTACCTTGTCCAAGAGCTCTCGGGTCTCCTCGGTTAGGGGGTCGTGAGAAAACATGCAGTCGTCACCGTTGATACAGTTCCCAGTCGTGTGGTACAGCTTACACGGGAAATCACGTTCACGCCAAGTTAAGGCGAATGCCTCACCTCATGAAACCCACCCCAGGACAGAAATCAAGTCCCTCTGTTTCAGAGAGGAGGAAAGTGAAGCCCAGAGAGGTGCAGTGACTGGTTCAGTGGTGCACAGCAGGCTGGCAGCTGAGCCAAGGTGAGATGCCTGTCTGGAGTGCAGCCCACTCCACCACGCAGGTCTTGAGGCCCTGTCCTCAGATCCTCACTCAATGGGAAGAGGGTGAAAGTTCAGTGATCTGCCCACGGTTTCACAGCCATTTGGAAAAGTCTCAGAAAGACAGCGGGCAACGGCCTAGTCTCGGGAATATACCTGACCCCCGAATGACATGGGGGTTGGGCGCCAGCCCTCTGCCCAGTCAAATGCAGGAGTGTAGTTTATAATCTGTCCTCCACACCCTCGGTTTTCATCTGTACCAAGGGTATGGAGAATATATAAATTATACTAAAAAAAAATTATACTCAAATTTTTGGGTCTTAAGATCCAACCAACTGCAGATCCTGCAGTACTGTGGTATTTACTACCAAAAACAATCCATGTATGAGCAGACCTGCAGAGTTCAAACCCACGCCACTCAAGGGTCAACTGTGTATGTATGGGGAACACATAACATGCGCACCTCAGTTTACTCAGCTGCAGAATGGGAAGAGCAGACCCGTTGCAGGGCAAAGGTGAGGGCTGAAAGAGATGGAGATGGGCAGAGGGCTCTTGGCACCTCATCGGCACACAAAGCGGAAGTGTGGTGAAGGCCAGCTGTTAACACCAGTAAGGAGAAAAGGTCTACATCCTCCATGAGCTCAAAGGCGGGCACTGAAGGATATCATGCATGTAGGGGCAGTTCTCGGCTCTGGCACAAAACCCAGTGATGTAAAACTTGCACAGTTCTCGCTTCTTTGGTAGCTCGATGTCATGGCTAAAATTACAGTGGTCTCCCTGGAAGAGAACCAGTGAAAGGTAAGCTGTTCGCCAAGGAAGTACTGCTGTGTCACTGGGGAAGCACAGAGGGACCGACGACAAAAATGAACAGTCCCCTCCACACACCCCCTGGCATTTATTCAGATGATAAATGCAGTTTCCCACCAGCTTGAAACTTCTGCCAAAGCGTGTGCCCCTTTCTCCTGCCCCTGCCTCCCTCCCCCTTGCCCTCAGTTACCCAACCCCCAGCCCGCTCCATTCTGCTGCCTTTCACTGCTTCTAACTCCTCCTCCTGCCTTCCCCTCTCTTACCCACTTATTGCTTTCTGTTTGCTGCATAACAGCCAGTATTCAGTTTCACTCTTCTTTCTTCCTAACAGAACCCCAAGCTGGTTTGTGTTCAGTTAAAAATACTCTATTTCCCAGCTTCCTATGCAGTTCTGCCCAATGAGATGTGCATAAAAGTCCCAGGGAAGATGATACTGCCAAGACATTTTTCTTCCCAACAATTCCTGCACAGTTTTCATCCTCCCAGACCTTAGTTGTGATGCCCAGAGGCACAGCAACCACTACGCAACCATGAGGACGAAAGCCACATGCTTAAAGATGCCAGCATCAAAACTAGGAAGGAACCCGGGTCTCCCATGGGTCTCTCATCACTATACCTGCCCTGTAGTGCCCACTCCCAGACCCTTTGATCTTTTTTTCTTTGGTCACACGACAAGACACACAGGATCTCAGTTCCCCAACCAGGCATAGAACCCGTGCCTGCTGCAGTGGAGGCACAGACTCCTGTTAGGACTAGACGGCCTGGGAATTCCCACACTCTGTTCTAAGAGACAAATGTCTATGGGTTTCAGCCAGTGGAGTTGAGCTTTCGGCTATTTGCAAACTGTACAATCCAAACAAAACAACATCTAGGTGAACAGAAGAAAGGAACTGTTCAATACCTGCTACCTCTTTCTCTTCCTAATAGCTACTCATTTTTGTTTGTATGTATTTCAAGTTTCTAAAAATAGTATGAATTGCAACTCTTCAACAAGGAAAACTATACACACACACACACACACACACACACACACACACACACACACACACACACACACACACACACACACACACACACACACACACACACACACACACACACACACACACACACACACACACACACACACACCCTTTGCTTGAAACATAGTAACGTTCTTTCCGGACACAGATACATAGGTACAGTATTCCCTGGGAACATGTTGGCCAATATCTGCCCACTGACTGAATTTGAATAAGAAGCTGGCTGGCTGAAGGAACACTGGATTACACTTGTTTCCTTCTGGACCCTGAGGCCACTGGCCCATCTCCTGGCATAACACTCTGCTGTGAAGGTCGAGGAGGGCCTGATCCCTTCCCACTCCCACCTCTTCTGCCTTGATGACTCCCTCTCCAACATTAAAGCTTACTAACTCAACCAGGCTATGTTACACCTTTGCATTAGTGTCAGGTCCAACAGAACATTTGACGCTACATGGATTGGGGGAAAATTTTGGCCAAAAAAACCCCCCAACCAAAATAACTCAGATGTGTCACCAATCTCGTCCTGGCTCTTCAATCATTTCCAGGCCCCCCACACATCTCTCAACCACTCCAAGCCCACCCAAACACTGCCCCAAAGAGTGTGGCCTCCAGAATGAAAGGAGACCAAGAGGCCCATGTGTCCCGGCTCCAGGCACCCTGGTCCTGTGACTGCCCTTACCCACGTGCACCGCCCTTCCACGAAGTATTTGCAGATGACTTTGCCTTTTTTGTCAGACTGCTGGTGGGGCTTGTCGTGGTCACTCCTCCGGTAGCTCCCACCACCATCCTATTGGGAATACAATGGGAATGGAAAGGAGAATTAAAAGGAAAGGTGGGGAGGGGCCTGTGCAGGCCAGGTGGGGTGGGCTCTGAGGGTGAGAGGGGCTGACCGGCAGGGCTGACAGGGGCACCAACCAGCCAGCTCCATCCAGTGCCCAGGTGGGTGGGTTAGAGCCCCGCTGCTCAGAGCTGAGGACTCGCGTGCCACACACCCGCAGGAACGCATCCGCTCCGAGGCAGTGCCTTCCTGGAGAACTCAAGAGAGCAGGTGACTGCAGGTGCTACAAAGATGTGGCTTTAAAAACAGAGGGTCTCTCCCGCAGAGCATCACCCAGGAGAGCTGATTAGTGCCAAGAGGCACCCCCTAGGGAACGGCTGATGGGAGCAGGGGGATGGGATCAGCCTCAGAAGACAACTCATTTAAAGAAAAAAAAAATTTTCAAGGAGCCTTGAGTAAGAGCATCACAAGGGGACAGAGGGTCGACTTACGCCCATGTCGTCGTCATAGAAGTCTTCGTCGTCATTCATCCCGCCCTTGTTCATCCCACCTCGGCTGCCTCCTCGACCACGGCCCCGGCCCATCCCTTTCCCTCGACCTCGGGAACCCCGGCCACGGCCTCGACTTAACCCTGCAGAGGAGAGAGACAGCGTTCATCCGCAGCCTCTGCCCAGGACCCGAGTCCTACTGCTGCCAGGAGGAACCCCTTCCCTCCCTGCTGATTTGACCCTCGGAGCCCCTACCCACCTCGCCCTCGGCTGTCCTTGGACCGGCGGTACTGGTTCAGCTCCTTGGAATAATCGTCATAGTCCTCATCTCCCATCGGCTCCTCACTTTCTCCATACTGGAGCCCCAAGCGGAGGAAAGCAGGGACGTGTCATTTGGGGAACGATGAACCATGTCCTCAACTATACATGCCACCTCCTTCTGCCTTTTTGTACACTTGGGATAACACCAGACTGGGGAAGGGCCATGAGCAGCCCCGGCACTCACACCTGTGCCCCTCTTCACCCACCCCAGCCTGGGCAGTGTCTGGGTCGTAGTCCTTTCCCTGAGGTGTGTACTCTTAGGACTCCCAGCCCCCTGTCCCCGCTAGCTCCCAGGGGACAGCAGTGCAGCTAGAACAAGCAGCAGCGTGGCCGGGCCTTGGGCAGGGACAGAACATGAGTGTGGCAGCTCTCCTGTGTATGTGTAGGGGGTGAGTAAACAGATGACTACAAAGGCTTCAAAAGAACCCTGGGGAACCCTTTCTTCAGGGACAGGGAACGGAGGCTCCGAGAGAGAGGAGCGGCTGGAGATGTTCTGACAGCTCAGCCCTTGGAACCTTTTCAATTCTGAACCTCGGGAAGCTTCTCTCTATTCAAACAACAAAGAAACATTTGGAAACACAGAAAGAAACCTGCCATCTGATGCCTTCCTCCCAGTAGTCTCAGAGACACCTCCAACAGAGCCTGCACCCACCAGCCACACTCCCCTGGCCCCCGAGCTAGAGAAAGCCTTACATCCATCTCTTCCTCGTAGAAGTCCTCTTCATCCTCCGGGTGGTCTCCTCCCACGGAGCCTCTGCCCCTGCCTCGGCTGCCCCTGCCCATGCCTCGGCCTCGAGACCCTCCGCGGCTGCCTCGGCCTCGGTAGCCCCTGCCTCGGCCCCGGCTGCCTGCATGGTGATCAGACAGTGAGCAAGGGAGAAGTCAATCCCCATTTGCCCGAGGTCAATCACTTCCTCCTCCTCCTCCAAGAAGCCTTCCCAGCTGCTCTGGGCTGACACACAGTCCCTGGGCCTCTGGACAGGGCTGGCTCAGCACCATGGACACACAGCTGCTGCATGCTCCCCCACGACCCTGACTGCTGCACTTTCCCACACGAGGGCACCAGGCACATGGGGCCACCGAGCACCCAATATGGAGCTGACCAAACTAAGATGCTGTAACCCCAGAACACCTACTGCCCTCTCCTGCATGAAGTGATTTTCAATAAATGTTTGCGGTTTTAAATGAAAAAATAAAAAAAAGAAAAAGAAAATGCTGTGAGTATAAAGTGCACAGTAGATTTCACGACTTAGTTAAAAGAGAGCAACAGAGAGATAATATATATTTATAAAAAAATCATCTATTTTGACGACATGTTGAAATAAGATTTAGAATGTATAAGCATCATAAAATGTGTTGTTAAAATTATTTCACGTTTTCTTTTATGTTTTTAATGTGACCAGTAGAAAGTTTGTAATTAGACAGTGGCCTGCATTGTATTTTTGTTGGACAGGCCACTCCAGTGTCTCCCCAAAGAACAGGGCCTATCTACAAAGAAGTGCAAGAAAGACTGCTGAATGACCAGCCACTCAAACAAGCAGTCCGAAGAACCACTGAGCTGGCAAGTTCTGGAAGCCCTCTGGGGCTGGGAAATATGACTAGCAGATGGTTCTGAGAGGTCAGGCTGGGTCTCTGGTGCGCGGCCCGCCCCCATCCTCCTAACTGCCACAGGTTCAAGGTTCGGAGGTGTGGCAGTCCCGTGGGCCGAAGTCACACCTTGTCAGGTGACAGGAGATGGGCGCCTGGGCAAGGAGGCGTCAGCTGTCTGCGACCCTCCCACGCTGTGCGAAAAGCTGTCTCTTCGAAACTGACCAGGAAACGAATTTACAGAACAACCCTTCAGAGGATTCCCCAGGGGTCCAGTAGTTGGTTAGCACTCAGCACTTTCACTGCCGGGCCTGGGTTCGATCCCTGAGAGGGGAGGGCCCCCCCCCCCCCACCCAAAGCAACCTTAGCCACAAGAGCACTCTCCTTGCCTCATGCCGGCCTGGCCCCCTCCCAGCCACAGCCTCAGCACAGACCCTCTACTCCGGTGGCGGAGCCCCGGGCTCTGGGGCTCGCGGGGCAGCTCCCCGCCCAGCCTCCGCAATGCTCGTCTCAGCCCTGAACGACGGTGCTCCTCTCGACCTGCACGGGCACGGGGTGCAGCCCAGCAGGCCAGCGGAAGCGGCGGGCCTCACCTCGGCCCCGGCTGCTGCCCTCCTTGGCGCGCCGGTACTGGTTCAGCTCTTTGGCGAAGTCGTCGTAGTCGTCCTTGCCCAGGTCCTCCTCCTCGTCGCCCTCGTACTCCCCGTACTGCTCGTTCTCGTAGTCGTCGTACATGCCGTAGCCTTTGCTGTCCAGCTTGGGGTAGGACTTCTTGGGCAGGGGCGTTGTATGAGAAGGAGGGTACTGCTGGTGGGACTGACGGGGAGACGACAGTGAGCCCCGGGGCCTCCGGTTGGGACCAAGACCCCCACTGCCCCCCAAACTGGCACGTCTGTCTGGCTGTCTCTGCTGGCCCTGGGATGAGAGGCTAGCCCCAAGCCTTGCTGGGTGCTGGCTCCCACCGGAATGAGAGCTGGGCTGTGGGCCCAGGTGTCTCTGTTCTTCAGAAAGAGCCACAGTTGTAAAGACAACTAAGAAACAGAGGCCCCATGACCCCTGAAGAACGGAGTGGGAAACGAAGGGTGTATTTCCCAGGGATCTAGAACAATCTCATTTGGGGAGGGGGCTTGCTAGGCAAGAGGGATGCTCTCTAGTCAAAAATCTCCTGGGGCCTTGGAATTCAATTAATGACTACTTGGGACCCAAACTAGTGGCTTCCCTGGTAGCTCAGTTGGTAAACAATCCACCAGCAATGCAGGAGACCTGGATTTGATCCCTGGGTTGAGAAGATACCCTGGGGAAGGGAACGGCTACCCATTCCAGTATTCTCGCCTGGAGAATTCCATGCACAGAGGAGCCTGGCAGGCTACAGTCCATGGGGTCGCAAAGAGTCAAACACAGCTGAGTGACTTTCACTTTGACTTTTGGGGCCCAGGCTAGAAAACCATTTAAAATGATGCTTTACAACTGTGCTAGTTCCAACAGATACTGGATGAAGTTTAAAAATACACATATAGCACAAATGGAGGCCACCAAGATGTCCTTAAGTAGGTAAAACAGGTAAGCAAACTGCGGTACATTCAGATGGACTATCCAACTCCAATGGAGTATCCAACAATGAAAAGACATGGAGGGACCATAAAGGCATCCTGTGAAGTGAAAGAAGTCAATCTGGAAAAGCTACAAACGAGTCCAATTACATGACTTTCTGGAATTGGCAAAACTACAGAAACAGTAAAAAGACTGGTGAGTGTGAGGGGCCTGCAGAGAGAGACTTAAAGGGAATTCAACTACTTTATACGACAGTATACAGTGAATACATAACAGGATGTACCAACGGTGGCTAAACAATTACAACAAATGGACCACACTAATGCAAGACATTAAAAACAGGGGAATGGGGTGGGGTGGGGTGTGGAGGGGACTGGCCTATCTTCTCAATTTTCTCTGAACCTAAAACTGCTCTAAGCACAAGGTCCTACTGTATAACACAGGAAACTATATTCAACATCCTGTGACAAACCATGATGGAAAAGAAGACGAAAAGAATATACACATGTGTGTAACTGGGTCACTTTGCTGTACAGCTGAAATTAACACACTGTAAGTCAACTACATTCAGCACAATTTTAAAAACGAAAACGGCTCTAAAAGTGGACCTTAAAAAGCCTTAAGCCTTAGTTCCCAATCAAAGCTTATGGTGTTCCCTGCATTCCCTGAAACCCTCAAGTTTAAAGTCTGTACCTATGTAAGTAGATTAACATCAGTTCAAATATCTACAATATCTGCTATGATGGGTGATGCTGAACACTGGATACTTTTAAGAACTTAAATAAAATTTTTTTTTTTCAATAAAAACCTTAAATATCTGTGCTGATTCATTTCTTACTGGTTTTCCAGGGGAAAACAATACACAAACTGGACAAATAATTTAAATTTAGGCTTAAGCTCAGTGCTATATAACTTTGGACCCCACAACATCTGAAGTGATTTATTCCCATAACCATTTCACTCTCTTGCCCATCTTCTACAAAAGGTCATTTCAGAAGAGTGTTAAAAGTCAGCTCTGATGGGGACAAATCAACATCTTTCTCAGGGACAGGATACAGAAACGATGAGTCCTGCCAAGGCCACCGCCGAGGTGGCCTAGAGAAGCACAACCGTCAGCTTCTGACTGGGCTCAACCCAGCTCCTGCCCTGGGAGCTTCAGCCTGGCTGAAGTGCTCTAAGTCTCAGTGTCCTCACCTCGAAAGCGGGGGATACAACCAACACCTAATCCTGCAGAATTAAAATCTGTGTACAGGGCTGCGCAAGAGTGCCCAGCACACTGCCGGTGCTCAGGAAACGTTGGTGATTTCATGACCCCAGCTCCTGCCCATGGGGGCCCCGGGACAGTGGGCACTCACCGGCGCGTAGGGGGGGCTGTACTCTCGGTATTTGCGGTGCCCCTTCTCGCTGGGGCTGAAGTCCGAGTCGTCCGAGAAGTCTGAGAAGTCATCACTGGAGGAAGCGTGGCGCTGCAGGGACAGGACAGAGTCAGGGCTCCCGCGGCGGGCAAGCCACATGCCCGGCCACTGCAGTGTGCCAGCCAGGCTGCGCGCGGAAGGCCTCACCTAGGGGCATCTAGCGGCAATGGAGCATGAGCTACCACTCTTCAAAAGAGGTCTTTAAACAGTTTGGGGAAAGGAAAACCAGCCTGATTAAAGAGTGCCCTCTGGCCTGACGAGCTGAGCTCGGGCCCCGGGGCACTAGGCCTGGGCCCAGCGCCAGCAGGCCTGGCGCGCCCTCCGGGACCTACTTTATGCTTGGATTTCCTCCTCTTCTTGGACCTCCTCTTCTCCTTCTCCCGCTCTTTCTTGCGCTTCCGCTTCAGCCTCCGGTGAGACTTCTCCTCATCCGAGTCGCTGTGGTGCTTCTCCCCCTTCTCCTTCCGGCTCCTCTCGGGGCCCCCAGAGGTGTCCTGAGTCTCCTCGGCCCCGTCATCTTCCAGCTCGCCTTCTTCCAACTCACCATCTTCCCTGTGAACCAACCCCATGGCTGAGTGAGCGCAGGGTCTGGGGGGCCCCATGGGGCTGTGGACCAGCAGGGCCCAGGACTAAGGGCGCAAGGCCTGCCTCCTGCCCCACCCCATAGCCCCCCGCCCCGACACCATTCTCTACTGTCTGTTGAGGCGGAGGACGGGGGGCCCGTGGAGAACAGGCTCTGGTTCCCGGGTCTCGAGGCCTGACCTGCTCCGTCAGCTCCACGGCTCTGGACCAGAGGTGAGGAGTTGGGCAGGTGGAGAGGGGGAAAGGTCCCAGACCCCTCCCTGGGGTCCCCGCATGACAGGGGTAGGAGTGCCCACAGAAGGGCTCACCCCCACCTGCTGCTGGCCCCTTGTTTCCCACCTGGCTCGCCTTACCTACTGCATCCCCTCCAACTCCCTGTCCTACGACTTCCTGACTCTGCTGAAAGCCCTACATGTCACCCCGGTCTCCAGCACTTTAAGAAACAAAATCACCCTCTGCATGGGACAGATGCTGCTGACAGGACATGCTGAACATCTAAATATCTATGGGGTTGGGTGGGGTGGGGTGGGAGGTGGAGGGATAAATCAGGTAAAGAAAAGGAGCAACTGGAAAAACAATCCAGTTTTTGGAGCCAAACCCACACAGTTCTCACAAATGCAGGAGTTGGTTTAAAAAAATAAACAAGTATAAAAAAAGTCCAAAGCTCTCAAAGTTCATCATGCATGATGATTGCCAAGTATGTGTGTGAGCACAAAAAACTCCATTAACTAAGACCCACAGACAGAATGAAAAGATAAAGAGTAACATGACGGGCCCAGGACATAAAAGGCTAATCCCAAAGGGAATTAATCTCAGCAAAAAAGGCCCGAGCCATTCAGAAGGCACCAGCTCAGTGTGGGAACAAGCTCATTGGGGGGCTTAGCCCCTAGAGCCTCGAAGGTTCTAATGGGCTTTGTGGAGAAACAATGGCTGACCTCTCTGAGGATCCTCCAGGGTCTTTTCACACACAAGGCTCCCTTTGGGCATCTCCGTGCTGCCTGCCCCCCACCAATCAAGGGGACCCTCCCATTAACTCTCACTCTCAATTCAAAGGAGTTAGGGCGGCTTAAAACCCAAGGTGTCTAGGCCAACTGTTACTCCGTCGGCAGAGGTCAAAGGTAGTTCTCAAACACAGAATGCAGAACCAAAAAACTCCTACTGATGTTTCAAGGGAAACCATAGAGCGAGGTGACCCCGGAACCCGCCCGGCAGTCCTGGGCCAGCCGTGCAGGAAGAGTCAAGGCTGGAGAAGGCCACATTCCTGACAAGTGAGGCACCTCCTGGCTTGGGTGTGGCCCACACGAGAGTTGCTCCGTGGGAGCAAAGCTCTCCTGGGAAGAGGCGACTCTGCTGGAATGGCCTCACCCACAGTAAAGGCGCCACCAGACTGGGGAAACTGGTTCTGGCGAGCTCCAAGCTGAGGGGGAAGCTGTCATCCAGGGGCATGGCAAACTTCCTGCGGAGACCTGGAGTCCTGCAGGACAGGGAGAGAGCAAACCCGTCCCCGCCGAGAACGTGGCTGGGCGGGCCAGGTCACCGAACCTCAGGTGATAAAAAACAGGGACAGACGGGACTAGACAGATGGGCACTATGGGACGAGGGAAGGCCCACAGACAGACTGGACAGGAAGGGGTTGGTGCTCTGTGAAGAAAAGCTAAAAGGAAAACAAAAAGCACCACTCTCCACACTTTAGTCCAGAAACGGAAAAGTTAAAAGTATCCAGAACCACAGGGCAGGGAGGGAAGGAACCTGGGAAGACAGGGAACTGTCTGGGGGCCCAGAAGCCTGGATGAGCAGTCAAAGGTCGCAAAGAGCAAAATGCCCTCCTGGAGCCAGGAAAGGCCTGTCAGAGTGGAAGGGATGGTGGGACACCGTCAACCGTCTCATTTTCAAACAGAAGGAACTTAAAGGGATGGCAGGTGAAAGGGTGTGTTGAGGTCAGACAGACAGAGTGACATGGGAAAAAGTCAGAAACTGGTTCTTAGCCCCCCGTTCTTTCCTTGATTGGTGAGAATGGAAAGAGAAGGGGGAGCAGCTCATTGACCGCCTCCTCTGATGCCACACACACTGAGCATCTTCTCTGTGCTGGGTCTTTGAGCACGCCCAGTTCTGTGCTGCCCTTGCAGGAAAAGATACAAATGACAAGAAGCCGAGTCCACAGGGCAGGCGAGCTGAGAGGTCTGGGATACAGAGCCAGGACCTGAGCCAGAGTGGTTGGCCCCTGCAGACACTCCTCTGCCCCTACGCTCTTGGACGACGACGCCCCGGCACAGCAAGCGCCAAGTCCTGCCCAGGGTCAGCTGCAACCTCCGCCTGTGTGCTGCTGTCTCACACACACCTCACACTTGCCCAGGGAGTAAAGACCAGCCAAGCAACTCCAACAGCTTCAACCATCCTCAAGAGAGATCCCACAAGAACGCCTTTTCATTCCACAGGCTTTATCCAAGGCAGGGAATTCCAGCATTCAAATCCACTCTACAAAGACTTCTTTTAGCCAAAGACAGCTTCTCTGTGTCATCTCTATTAACAGCCCCAGGCAGATCTACAACTTTTTACTAACTGGGGAGTGAATATTTGAAACTCTGTTCCCTGGGAGCTGGGAGCAGAAGCAAAATAAATAGCATTAAAAAAAAAAAAAAAAGTCCTGCTGATTTCTGAAGAAGAACAGGATACCAGAGGGGACGCGGGAATGAATGGAGACACCTGACTGCCCACTGCTCCTTCTCCCTCCTCTCTGGCCACACTGTGCTCCCCAGCTTTTCCGAGGACTGGGCTCATCTCTGCTCACCTGAGAGGGTGCCCCTGGGTAACACAGATGCCCAGCTAAACGTCCTGGATGAACACAGGGCCTATTTCCTTCTATACCAGAACGAAAAGGAAAGGGGCGTGTGGGGTGGAGAATCACACCAACTGGGATGGAGGCAGAAATTCTGTGGGCCACTGACACGAACACACACAGGGGCTGCCTCCGCAAAACAGCAACGGGGTTTAAGTGGTGCCACTTAACAGACTGCCAGCAAAATCCATGTCAGAGTGGCATTAAATACCGAGGGAGCATGCTTAATAGACTGTGACATAATCCCCCAAGCAGAGTGGGGGAAGCCCCACTGCGCTAATCATTTCAATCTAGACGTGCCAAACCCTCTTGAGACAAGCATGCAGGAGAAAGCCTGAAGCAGCGGCCGCTTGATTTCCAGGGCCCGGGCTGGCAACGCGCTGGGACGGCTGTACCACGGCCAGCCCGCCAGAGCCATCAGGGACCAGAAATCAACCACGCTGGGAGACCAACTTTGGGTGGGCACCCAGGGTTGGGGGAAAGGCGGAAAAGCCAATTCCCCGCGGAGGCTTAGTTCTGCCTGGTGCCACTCAGACTGAGCATCCAGGGCATTTGTTTCCCCTTGCAGAGCTGGTGATGATCAATTCCTCTTTTTGAGTCAAAGAAGAGATCTGGGTGCCCATTCTAAGGAATGCCTACTGGGCCAACTCCACAGGTTCACCATACATCATGGGTTTGGCAAAAACAGTAAAGAAACTTCATGCTTCAAAGGAGGCTGGCCTCACCCCCCCCACCCCCCTAGTCTACAGAGGGGGCATCCTGCTTCCTTCTGCAGATCTATTAACTTGGCCAGCACTGAGTCTTCCCTAGCATGTCCTCTGGTATGGAATTTGAGCCTTGGTTTTCTCATCTGCAGAATGGAGTTAAGTGTAGCACCCCCTTCAAGGGGTTGTGAGGGTTAAATGAGATAACATGGATAAAACTCCTGATGTGGTTGGGGGCAGGCAAAGAGTAAGTACTAGACACATAGTAGCTACTGGTATTAAGAACAGGAGCACACATCCATGTGGACTATCCTAAACAACTGCCAATCCTTACTGGAAAGCACTTTGTGGAGAAGCTACAGCCAACTCCCCTCAGGGACCGCTGCTAACCGCTGGCCAGCAAGCTCTTGCTTTCTTTGGCCTGTCTACGCATGTGCCATCCTCTGACAACAACACTGACAGGTCGACACCTCCCCTCTCTCAGCTTTCATCTAGGGGGTCCAACAAAGTAACCAAGTGGATGACCAAGAGGAAGAGGCCCAGGGAGCGCTGAATCCCAGGAAAAGGGGACAAAGGTCCCTGACAGAAATGAGGTTTGGCAACATGGACATCCTCTAGATGAGAGAGCTGGATGGAAGCTGAGAGGGGCCTGGGTTTATGCATCAACCTGATTTATGAGAGAGAGAGATAGAGAGAAAGGAGAGATGGGCACAAAACAAAAAAGATGAAAACCCATGGGAGCAGTGGCTGTTACCTGAAGATCATGAGAGCCCTTGACAAGAGGCGGCTAGGTTAATGTGAAGGTCAGGGTCATGATCATTAACTGCCCAGACTCTCAACAAATTGCCTGGGTAGGCTCTGAATGACCCATTAACTAGGGACAAAATTACAAAAATTACAAGGAGGCTCCGCCTCTTCAAATGTTTAACGACAGGCCTAAATGCAGACGTCCGAGATCCCCAAATCCGACCTGGGGGGACAGTCGGTTACTGACAGCAAAGGCGTGGAGCCTTTCCTTTACAAAACGGGCTCAGGACGCCTGTCTGAGCAGGCCCCTGGAGACCTTCTCTCGATTTAGGCCATGGTGAAGCAGCCACAGGGAGGGGAACCTCACTGAGGGATTTTCAGAGGCTGGAAATTCTTGAAATTAACCTCTGGGTCTTGCACGTGTTTTTCAGTGTCCTTACTACCTAGGTTCATCAACCACAAATCAGGATCAAATAAGCACTGTGTGCGCTTGTCCCTCAACATTCTCAGGAGTGGTCATAACTGGCTCTGTGATGTCACAGCATTTCCATGGCAACAGGGCCACATCACAGACCCCACCCAAGCAGCAAGCACCAACCAGCCCTGGGAGATGAGAAACCTGAGCCACACCCTGAACCCCTCACTTCAACAGAAGTGAGACAGCCTGCCCAGTGCCAGGACCC